ACTTGCTTGTATTGGTCCTGTCTCATGGTTTCCTGGACTATATAGAGGCGCCCAACCCCTTTTGCGCTTATGACAGACCATACCATTATTTTTACAGGGTGTTTAACGCGTTCCACTATGCAATCAGGGTGAAATTTCTCGCCTGGACGCCGCCTGACAAAGTTACTTTTGTCGGCTAGAATTTCAAATGTTGACTCGTCTGAGAAACATACCTAAAAAAAAATAGAAATTTATTCATAATTTTTATAAATATGATTTTATATAACACAAACAAAATTGACATTAGAACTGACCTTATTCCAGTCTTCAACAATCTTCAGGCGGTGCTCACGAGCCCAAGCAAGCCGTTTCTTCTTCATCGCATTTGTCAATCGTGGTTTCTTAACTGGACGATGACCTGTCAGGCCTTCCTCTGCCAACCTTCGCTGTACAGTTCTTTTAGAAACAGGTATTCCATATTCCTGTACCATCTGAGTTAAGAATCCAACACTTTTCTTTCTGTTTTGCAAACAGATATCCCGAATTTTCCTATCAGAACGTGCTGTTGTGATACGTTTTCTGCCACATTTGCCTTTTCTTTTGGGCGAAAGTGGCCGATTCTGGTCTAAATTGACCTTTATTTTATTGACAGCAGACTTAGATACGCCGGCCAGTTCTGCTATCTTTCTCTGAGAATGACTTGTGGTTAGGAGAAGGGTTTTAATCTCAGATTTTTTTCTCGGAGACAAATCTACCCCTCGACCCATAGCCAAAGCTGTAAAAATATATAAAAATAAAAATTGTTCTAAAATCTGCCTCAAAATACTTTAATTTTAATAATAGTAAAATAGTACTTACTTGCAGGTAATAATTATTTCACAAAACCACAAATGAACTGTTCAAAAGAATTATTTACGTGTTTCACTTTTACACGTGTGGACGACTGTGTGTCTCTTTCGTTATTAAAATATATTTACAAAATAAATAAATCTCTCAGCACTTGAAATTCACTTTAAATTTGAGTTACAGAGATACTGATAACATAAAAACATATTTCAAACACACTTATACCACTTAAAAACGCAATCAGGGGCACTTGAGGAACAAAAATTATAAAAAATGTGACTGTCCCTATTAATTTGGCAACCCACTGTATTTGCTTTTTTTATTATTCTCCTTTTCGTAGTTTTCTAGCAAGATATTTAATGCTTTATCGTCTAAAGAGTTAAAGTAGGCCATATTATGTATTTTGTGACTTTGTATAAATCTGAATGAAGACTGAATAGTTGCAACCGAGCTTGTTTTATATACACATGTGACCCAGGTAGGAGCGGGCGGAGCGAAGTAGGTGGCATTAGTCGTTACATTCAAAGAAATATTTTTATGCAGTCGTTCTTTTCTGAAATATCTTTTGTGATATTGTAAACGATGTCTCGAGTACTTTGTTAATATTTATCACTTTCTGACTACACGTAACAAATAATACGAACATCAGCGTACTTCCATTGGTCATTGCTTGGTATATCTTTTATTTTATTCATGTCGTCTATTTCGATTTTGATTAGATGGCTTGCTTGATTTTCTATACATGTAGATATGTATATATCTTCAGGAGATTTTGCAAACGGGGATATATTCAAAGTATTCTGTTCCACAAATTCGTCAAAACTCACGGGACTTTCAGAAATATCCTCCCACTCATATTCATCGTTTTTATTGGTTTGGCAGCCACTCAATATTTCTCCTGTGTCTAAAGTTTCATTTTCTACGTCCTGATTCCTGTCTTCAGAAGATAATTCTAGTTCTATTCCTGCATAATCTTTTAATGAATGATCGCTTTCTGAATTAGTTGTTTCAGCATTTAAAGGATTGTAAACTTTATCACTATTGCTATCATATATGCCTTCAATACTATCAAAATCAGTTGAACTAGTTGAATTAGAAATACTTGGCGCTTTATTAGAAAATGATCTGTTATCGTCTATGACCTTCTCGTGAAAAGTAATACCATCTTTGTCAATAGAATGTAACGATGTATGAACTCGGTATTTTTTTACAACTAGTTCTGTTTTTGTTTTCGAAACTAATTCTTTCATTTCTATCTTCGTCGATAATATGAAACGATTTGTAGATGACTGGCAGTTTATTATATCTAGTTTGTTTCTTTGCTTCGATATTTTCCGGAATGTTTTCAATAAAAACACTTCAAAATTTAAGTTATTTCTCTTAGATTTGGTATTTGAATCTTCAGATTGCCCGTATTCTGATATAAAATTTTGATTTTCTCTTTTTTGTACGTGTCCGTAGAAGTTAATTTATTTTATCTTTATTAAGCGATATGTCACAGTCCAGTAAATTAGAGCGTAATATTTCTGATAGAAAACTAGCTCTGTTCTCCTGTTCTAAATGTGAAAAGTCCAATGATAGTGAACATGGAATTGAGGAATTTATCTGTTTTTTAAATAGTTGACTTGAACAAGGAGGGGAAAATGTAACATTCTGTAACACATGACATGTTTTGCTGGTACTGGGACTGACATAAATCATTACTTTTTTGTGTTCACTAGGAGACACCAAATTATTAATATTATTTGATGTAACTCCTGTTCTCTTTTGTGTAATGATTATAGAGTTTGCATGTTTATTTATGATACGTTTTTGTTTCTCAATAGGTGTTTGATTTTTTGTTGAAAAATTATCATTGATAAAAGTTTTAGTGCTATCAACGGTAGCTATTTTTACAGCATCAACTTTGTTAAAACGTTTTATCACTAACATTTCTTCATCATTCGACGTTTCTACATCTTTTATAGTAGACTTATTATCATTTAGTTGTGGACTCTGAAAGACGAGTAATATTTTTAATCGCCTTGGAAATTAACTAGCAACTATAACTCCTCCAACTAGGAGGTTATAGTTGCTAGTTGCTAGGTAACAAAAATCAGCCTCGCCTTGCCTATAGCCTCGATTTCTTATGTCAAAATCAAAAGCTTTGTTTTCTACGCTGCTTGCATAATATTCAACTAATATATTTATTTGTTTCTCGAATTCTGTGATATGTAATTGCATTGAAATTATCAATTTGTGTATAAAAACGGTGGCTGCTCATTTATGTACCATTTGTTGGAAGAAATTAAAAAAGATGATTACAAATAACGACGAGGCAGTTGCAAAATGCACGCAGTTTTACGTGATGTGGAATATATTCGTCATTACACTGTCTGAAGACCTAATTAATATGTTGGAAAGTGAATTGGCACTATATATGCCGCCGATCCGGAAGTTTAACACTCAGGCTAAAGGTTTGTAAATTCAACTTTACTGTTTGATATTATTATCTAAATAAAATAATGATCATTATTTTTTTTTTATAGATATTATGTACTTTGTCATTTTTGACTAATGGAAGTTACTAAAAAGTTATTGGAAATAATTTAGATACTTTAATCTCTCAACCATCAGCATTCAGAGTAATTCATCAAGTTGTAGATGCATTAAACAATATAAATATTGCCCAAAAATATATAAGATTCCCACAAAATATGATGTATAAATAAGTGTTTAAATATTATAAACTACTCAATTTGACTCAATTACCCATGCAATAAGTTACTTATTCATGTCAATTTATTGTTGTTAAATAAACCCTTTGAGTGCCGACGAGCGCCATCGCGCTCGTGCGCATTGCAACTAAAAGTGCCACGAGCGTCATAGCGCTCATGAAATCAGTCGCTGTTTAGCTTGCTGTAAAAAAAAAATATTAAAATTGGATAATTTTTGGAGGAGATACAGTTTTTTTAGATGACATTAACACGACAAAGATTTATTTAGCATTTTTAAACAGATATGAGTAAAAATCAATGGCACTAAAACGGTTAAATTACTAATACAGTTCAGGCTGACAAAAATAATAATCTCTTTCATAATCATGATTGTAAAACTTAAGACCCTTATGATATGGTTATTAAATAAAAATGTAATGAAAAAGAAAATATTTTCTTTTTTTTTTCACGTGACTCTAGAACCCTTCTAATAGTGTAAACCCTTGGACTCTCAATAATATCAAAAGCTTGTTAAAATTGCTGTGTTATTTGTGATATGCATATTCATCTATACCTACCATCTCACAGAACTAAGAAGCAGGAAAGAAAATTCAGTAGTCTCAAGACAATTATGTTTTTTTGTACTTTATATTACATACTTTCCATTTTTATTGTTACTTTTTTGTCTAATCGTACATTAAATATTAATGTGGGAAGTCGTGGGCGGAAAATCAGACTATATTCAATTTTTATAAATTTATTCGCTCCACAGCTCTTTTACAGGCTTCGAATCGTAACGCCATCTTGCTTCATTCATTCGTCGACCAATCGTACTTGTATCATGCATCTCTCTCACCCATCATCTTTACTCTCATTACTATTCCTTTCTAGAAACATCCAATCCCACATTAATAATATGTAGTAAAATGTACATCTATTTCATAGTACAGCAAATTAAATTTAAACAAGCAGACATGCTATTGCTTTTATAATATTAGTATGCAGTATGGAATATATATAAATATCATTTATACAAACTTATTTACTTTATTATTCAGTTTCATATTTATGATTGTTTCATTGAAATTGTGTACTTTTTGATTGTTAATATTACATGATATATTTATGTTATAATGACTAATGACTAGATAATAGGTTTAATGATGTTTAATTACATAAATTAAGTTAATAGTAAATGACTTGTGCTGCTTCACTGTCTGTATTTATACAAATTTCAATTGTAAAATTTCCTTTTGTTTAAAAAAGCAACAATTGAGTTTCTTGCCTGTTCTTCTCAGCTGAAATTGCATTCCGAATGGGTGGTGGAATCATAAATAGTAGTATTCAAAAACATTTGTTACTTAAAAAAATATTCTTATTCTAAATGAATAAATAAATTAAGTTGAAATAAAAATACTTTACCAAAGATTTATTTTTTGAACTAAATCTGATAGAGATTGACTTTGCCTTAGCCATGCTTCACTCATTTGTTGTAAGGCTTGAACTAAGGCTCGCTAGTTCTCTGCCAAGATCCTTTCCGTCTCTACTCGGCGCTCTTCTATGGCGACAAATCTCTCTGTAAGACTTCTCAGTTGAGACTGCCGTTGTGAAGGAAGTGAGCGCCGGAGTAAGCGTCGTCGTGGTGCAGTTAAACGACGGCGTGGAGCTAATAACAACAAAACCAATTCCATATACCATATAATTCCAAAATGTATAAATTAGTTATGTATACACATGCTTACTTTTATACTATAAAAGGTAACGACTCTTTCACAATACCGGGGTTGTCATATATTTTCATTATTTTCCCCGGATTGTTTTGCATTCATGCTGTCTGTGTCCTATTTGTGTAATTTTTAAAAGGGCCGTTCACTCTTATGTCTAAAGGTTGCAAATTGTGGGAGTAGTACGAAGGAAACGATAACATGATGACATTATTTTCTATGGTTATGAAGTAGCAACAGAACTGACTCTTTCTTGGTGGATTTTGCATGTTTGATAAAATGGTCCATAAAATTTTTAAATTCTTTTTCGGTCATCCATCCGGAGAAATTAACAGCACCAATGCAATGTGGAGGTCTACCATGAATAAACATTTCAGAATATTTAAGCTTGGGAAAAAACGAACATCGGTGTGATAAAATTACAAGAGTTGTCTTCTCAACCGATGTGATAGCTCCAATTTGCTTTTAGCCACGAGTAGTTTCTATTTTATTACGTTTTTAAACTGTTGTGACCCTTGTTTTATCAATGTTCCATATTCGAGAAGCATTAAAATGACATTTTTGGAGAAGTCGTTGATATATTTCAAAGAATGAATTAACGTTAGGCTTATTGAAAGACGTCGTTCGACTTAAAGACGTCGCTTCTGGTGTCCTTAAAGATAAATGTGAATTTCTGCGCATAAAATTTTGGAACCAGTCAGTACCAGCCATGTTATTTTGATTCCAAGAAGGAGGAATGTTTTTAGCACTAAGCTGCACACCACATTGGTAAGTTAGTTTCTCTACTTCTATAGGAAGTAAGGAAACTAGAAGTAAATACTTGTCTAGGCTTAACATAACCAACTCTTAATCTTTCATTATTTTTCTTTTTTTTATGTATCTATAAAGAGAGACGTGACATAATCCGAAAGTCTGACTAGCTAGTCTGATCTACTAAAACTACAAGGTGCCAGTACTAAATAATACCAAAACACATACTGAATTATACTAAAAATGTACTAAAATAAAAATAAAAAAGTAGAAGAGGAAAAATTTAATTAAAACATTATCAATTACTTTTTTTTTTAATTTTACCAATTACATTATACCACCTTCATTATACAGATATATTAAAATACTAATAAATATTTACAATAAGTTTTATATAGTATTCGATGGATTATTTTTTACCATATCTTTCGATGAGTCCAATGAGACACAACCTACACTCCCTTCACTTAGACCTTGCTTAACATACAACAGGCACGCTATATGTTTAGCTAGAAACCTATTTCTGTATATAGTTTTTGTATGATTAATTTTTGAAAAATTTCTTTCGCATTCAGTGTTTTAGAAATGGGTATGCACATTTGATATTTTACAAAGTTAGTTAAATTTTTGTACTTGGGAACATTTTTACTGTTAACAATACAACTTAATTTGCTCCGAAACTGTTCAACATTTACAGCACTAGCACTACTACTAGAATCACACATCAGATTTTGTACGTCTGAATTACTTACTTAGTACTTAATTTGACGATATTCCTCGTCAATCAATTGTCTTACTGTATCATTTGGAGTAATGTTCGGAAACCTGTTCATAATGCTGAAATAAGAGATGTAAAATTTTCATAAGCTGCTATTTGTAGACCTATGAAACGTAACTCGGAAAATATTTTTTCATTAATGGAAAATCGACATTTGAGTACATACCTCTATCAAAAAGCTTTGACACCTTTTTAAAAAGTCTCTAATTACGATACTACTGTTACTTGGTTAATTTGTAAACAGCGCTATTTCATTAGATAGTTTTATACATAAGTATATCTCATGTAATTCTACAAAATTTATATTACTATTACAATCTATGTCTACAATAAGTGGCACGAATGTAGTTGCTTTTTACGTAGCAACTTAATATTGTTTTAAACATGTCAGTCAAATCCCGATAAAAAGTATGCACAACACATGCATTACCTTGAAAAATTATGTTTAACTTGTTGACTATATGCAAAATATAATCTAAAAATAAAAAGTAGAGCTTTATTTGTTTATATTCGAAACTTTCATGTAAAAAAATCGCCTAATGGCTAGGGTTATGTTCTAAGAGATGTTTTTGCTGAAGTGCATTCCACTGTTCTACTATGCGAATTACACAGCCGTATAGGGAGAGCCAATGTATGAGGGCAGTCCGATAACTACTTAACCTACAAAAGGAAAACGAAAATTTTGGAAAAGTGGCGATTTATTTCAAAATTTAAAATAATACAATGAAAATACTGAAATAATGTTGTTGTTTTACCTGTTAATTGATTCAGCTATACTATTTAATGTATTGAGCATTTGCTCCATAATAGCTGTCTGTCTTCTCTGTTCTTGTAGTCGTGACCTTGCGACATCTATTAAAGTATTCCTTGCTGTCTCCATACTAACAGTTCTCTGTTGTCTTGGTCTACGTCGTGTCGGGCGAGACGGGGCGTGGAGGGGCTTCTGTAGGAACTTCGAGTTCTACTTGAGGATGTGGAAGCTCTTCAGTTCCTGTGTTTTGTGTGTCTATAGTTGCTATATGTATGTCTCCTCTGGACTCTGACTCTGATGCAGTGATCTCAATCATTACTGCATCAGAGTCGGTGTCCAGAGGTTCTGATCTCAATGCAGTGCCACTAGTACTTGGTATCTGAAAATAATATAAATTTATTTTCATTTCTATGCAATTTATTCTATATATAATTATAATATTGAATAATTTATGGTAATTTCGGTCAGGGTCATATGTTAATAAAGGAAGCTATTATTGTAATTGTATTTCTTAACCCTTAAATACATGAAGTTTCAAATTTCATACCGGTATTATAAATCATATTGGGCACCTACAATCGATTTTATTTTAATATTTGGCTGTTTACATGTTACCACATGTTTTTTTCAAAATAAATATATAAAAATATCGTTTTGAATTTTTTTACTATTTTTCCCCATTAGTAAACACAGTAAAGGATACACTTATATTTTTTAATTTGATTTAAAAATTAGGCTTTTAAGGGTTAAATATTGTTAATTAATTAAGATAGTATGCTTCCAAATGAAATAAATATCAAATAGCCAGAAAGTGTCAGGCATTTACCATAGGAGGAAGAATAAATATTTATTATGACTTACAGATGGTATATATGAAGTAAAAGTTTACTCTCTAAAACTGATTTATGTGCATGAGATGAATCATAGAATTATATAAAGCATAGAAGCCTCTGGTACTCTACTTTTCTTTACCTACTTTGCAAGAGACTTATTGTGAACACAGAATTTATATTAAAATTTCCTACAATTATATACGTTTGAAAATGGGTCGACTTGTACATTACTTAAGCCGGAACCGAAACCTGTCCCTAAAATGCTCAAGAACTTTTGTTCTAGTGCATCCAAGGGTGGAACATTCGAAGGTCCACCTCCAGTACGGTTTTGAGACAGACGTACTGCAGCAACTCTTCTTTTTAGATTAGCTTTATAATCCACCCAATACTGTAAATATCTTTTTGATATTGTATAAGTTGATTATAATTTGTTATTTATTGTTTTTGTAATACTTACATTTGTCCATCCTTTCTAGTCTTTAAAAGCTCCTTCTCCCAACGAATTCAAAGCTTCTGCGACTCCTTCCCACATACGTTTTGCATATTCTCGCGTTTGGGCAGATTTATTAAAACCCACAGCCACATCCTTATTGCTATTTAAAAATTCCCACAGAATTTCTAACTGCCGATACGTTACGCGACGACGTGTGTGAGAATTTTCAGCAGACGTTGATCTGCGATTTGATTAAAGTATTAGGAGTACAAATAAGTTTCCGCCGTTTTTTAACACAAATTAAATATTTATTATAGAAGAACGGTAATATAGATTTATATAAAATATTGCCCATCACTTGCAACCACTTTTTCCCATCTCTCAGGCAGCATTCGAATTCCACGTCTGAAGAACTCCTTGTCTTTTGAGGCTATCCACGAATCAACCCAATTTTTGGTATCCTCATAAGATGTAAACCGCTGCGTCGTCAGAGCATGTGCCATGGACCGAAACAGGTGATAATCGGACGGTGCAATGTCTGGTGAATACGGCGGGTGGGGTAACACTTCCCAATCAAGTGTTTCCAAGTACTTTTTTACGGGAGCCGCAACATGTGGACGAGCATTGTCATGCAGAAGAATAATTTTTTCGTGTCTAGAATAGTATTGAGGGCGTTTTTCTTTCAGAGCTCGGCTCAATCTCATCAATTGTGTTCGATAGAGGGCTCCAGTAATTGTTTCGCTCGGATTAAGCAACTCATAATACACTACACCTAGCTGATCCCACCAAATACACAGCATAAGTTTTTTTCCGTGAATATTCGGTTTTGCTGTTGATGTTGACGCGTGGCCAGGTAATCCCCATGATTTTTTTCTTTTTGGATTGTCATAATGTATCCACTTCTCATCACCAGTTACGATACGATGTAAAAAACCCTTTTTTTATGTCTAGCTAGCAGCATTTCACTTAAGCATAATCGGCGTTCAATATCTCTCGGCTTTAATTCGTACGGAACCCAATTTCCTTGTTTATGAATCATTCCTAATGATTTTAAACGATGTGAGACTGCTTGCTGAGTGACTTCTAATGTTAGAGCAAGTTCTTTTTGTGTTTGAGATGAATCCTCCTCCAATAATTCCTCCAATTCTGCATCCTCGTAAATTTTTGGCCTTCCACTGCGATCTTTGTCTTCTACGTCGAAATCACCGTTTTTAAACTTTTGAAACCACTCTCGACACGTTCTCTCACTCAAAGCACCCTCACCATATGCTTCTACGAGCAATTGATGCGCCTTAGCAGCAGATTTCTTTAAATTAAAGAAGTAAATTAATATTTCCCGCAAATGACGCTTATTTGGCTCAAATTTTGACATTTTCAAGTTATAAAAATTATATTTTACCAATATCAAATCAATAATATTAATAGGTTATGTTGGTCTTGAATGTCGAAACTATTTTTTAAGCCGGTTATCATCTGCGAAAGCTAACCGAAACTCCGTGCCGCGCCATCCACAATAAAACGGCGGAAACTTATTTGTACTCCTAATAAATAAATATAATTTACATCACACTTATAATTAAATATTTGACTAATATACTTATTTCATATACAATTTTAATAACTTAAGATTTATGTTCTTCTGTCATGTTATTAATCTGAAAAAAAAAACATTTTAGATTAGTAATGCTGACATGGAAATTATAAGTGTGGATGCCAGCTATGGAGGAGCTACTCATGACTCCTTCATTTGGACAAATCATCCCCTAAGACAGCATTTAGAACAGTTAAGCAGAAATGAGTCCATTTGATTACTTGGTGAGAATTGATTTGTATTATAAAAATATTAAAATTGTGTTTACTCATTACTGATTTTAGAACTTTAATACTTTTTGTAATTAAAGATTTTTTTTTTTTAATATTATTATTAACATGCTCCTTTCAGGATATGCTCTTAGAAAGTATATAATGACTCCCATTACAAATACTGTCCCAGGGTCACAAGAAGCACATTACACCAGTGTACATGTGAGGACAAGAAATGTGATTGAGAGGACAATTGGACTCTTGAAAGCTAGATTCCGTTGCCTGCTTGTACACACTGTACGTCATTATGCCCCAGAGGTGGCAGCATCTATAGTGAATGCTTGTGTGGTATTGCATAATATGACGGTAAAGTCTAAAATACCAGCACCAACACTCACTGATGAATATGCTACATCAGAGGGCACAATGCAGCTCCATCATACTCACCATGATCTGTCTCAGTCTTCAAGTGCAGAATTAAATGAAGGTTTAGCTGCCAGGCGCGCCCTCGTTTCTCGCCTCTGGAGTTCTCGAGCTTCTACAAATAAAAAAAATATAGATTACTCTGAGAAGCACTATAATGTCTAAAGTGGTAGACATTAGGCATTATAGTTCTTAGCATTATTTCGTTTATAGACAGAACAATAATTTTAAATGTATTATATAAATAGTTTATTTCATTACTTCTAATTGCATTTTTAATATAATTAATTATATTACTTTGATAAAAAGTCTATTATTATTCATAGAATTTTAGTTGATATAACAAAACAGAAATATTGTTTGAGTTTTTATATGTCTACTGTATGTTCTCCATAAATTTGTAATAAACACCAAATATTCTCTTAGATAAATAAAATATGTAAAAAATAATATATTTAAAAAATAATACAATGAAAATCCTGAAATAATGTTGTTGTTTTACCTGTTAATTGATTCAGCTATCCTATTTAATGTATTGAGCATTTGCTCCATAATAGCTGTCTGTCTTCTCTGTTCTTGTAGTCGTGACCTTGCGATATCTATTAAAGCATTCCTTGCTGTCTCCATACTAACAGTTCTCTGTTGTCTTGGTCTACGTCGTGTCGGGCGAGACGGGGCGTGGAGGGGCTTCTGTAGGAACTTCGAGTTCTACTTGAGGATGTGGAAGCTCTTCAGTTCCTGTGTTTTGTGTGTCTATAGTTGCTATATGTATGTCTCCTCTGGACTCTGACTCTGATGCAGTGATCTCAATCATTACTGCATCAGAGTCGGTGTCCAGAGGTTCTGATCTCAATGCAGTGCCACTAGTACTTGGTATCTGAAAATAATATAAATTTATTTTCATTTCTATGCAATTTATTCTATATATAATTATAATATTGAATAATTTATGGTAATTTCGGTCAGGGTCATATGTTAATAAAGGAAGCTATTATTGTAATTGTATTTCTTAACCCTTAAATACATGAAGTTTCAAATTTCATACCGGTATTATAAATCATATTGGGCACCTACAATCGATTTTATTTTAATATTTGGCTGTTTACATGTTACCACATGTTTTTTTCAAAATAAATATATAAAAATATCGTTTTGAATTTTTTTACTATTTTTCCCCATTAGTAAACACAGTAAAGGATACACTTATATTTTTTTAATTTGATTTAAAAAATCAGGCTTTTATGGGTTAAATATTGTTAATTACTTAAGATAGTATGCTTCCAAATGAAATAAATAAAATATCAAATAGGCAGAAAGTGTCAGGCATTTAGAAGAAAGAATAAATATTTATTATGACTTACAGATGGTAGATATGAATTAAAAGTTTACTCTCTAAAACTAATTTATGTGCATGAGATGAATCATAAAATTATATAAAGCATAGAAGCCTCTGGTACTCTACTTTTCTTTACCTACTTTGCAAGAGACTTATTGTGAACACAGAATTTATATTAAAAATTCCTACAATTTACTTACGTTTGGAAATGGGTCGACTTGTACATTACTCAAGCCCGAACCGAAACCTGTCCCTAAAATGCTCAAGAACTTTTGTTCTAGTGCATCCAAGGGTGGAACATTCGAAGGTCCACCTCCAGTACGGTTTTGAGATAGACGTACTGCAGCAACTCTTCTTTTTAGATTAGCTTTATAATCCACCCAATACTGTAAATATATTTTTGATATTATATAAGTTGATTATAATTTGTTATTAAAAATTAAAAACAAAAAGTTTTTGTAATACTTACATTTGACCATCCTTTCCAGTCTTTAAAAGCTCCTTCTCCCAATGAATTTAATGCTTCTGCGACTTCTTCCCACATACGTTTTGCGTATTCTCGCGCTTAGGCAGATTTATTAAAACCGACAGCCACGTCCTTATTGGTATTTAAAAATTCCCACAGAATTTCTAACTGCCGGTACGTTACGCGACGACGTGTGTGAGAATTTTCAGCAGAAGTTGATCTGCGATTTAATTAAAATAATTAAGTCTTACATTAATTTAATATAGCATTTTTTTAGCACACAATATATGTAGAATAACACTAAAAACACTTACGCCATGATATATATTTTTCTTGTTGATAAACACAAAAAATATTTTGTAAAAATTAAGTGACAGACTTCGAACTATTTGGAATGCAGCCAAGTAATGAAATAGTTTCACAGTTTCAAACTCCATTTCAAAAAATTCATATTCAAGTGGATTCGGCGCGGAATTTTAAGTGGATCAACAACGTCATGTAGCTACGTTCGAAAATGTGCACGAAATGCATTCTAAGATATAATTCGAAACGTTCAAAAAGATAACGAGAATATTTTAATTAATAACGTAAATTTATCTATCTAATAATGTATCGTAATAATTGCATTTTCGTTATATTTATTTAACCACTACCATGTCAAAACTATGTGAACATAAAAACCGTAACTTCCCGTAAAAATTCTTGTGTTGTTTCTGAACGAATGGAGTGTAAATGAATAACCAGCCATAGACAAATTATTCAGGCAGAAGTCGGATTGTTTTTTGTAAGTCATAATACGAAAAAGAACAAAGCAGTTTACGGCCGTAAAGTGAATTGCCTGGAACTTGACTGGTTTTTTAAAAGTTCATAATACGACTGCTGATCAGATTGCATTTTTTTTCTTAGATAGTTCTTATAGCTTTCCTCATCACAGTAACTATGATTTTTTTATTGCAGTCTTGAATTGAATGCGTATAAAAACGCATATGTTATGTCTGTTAAACGCCGTGCCGCGAGACAAGCTTCAGCAACTCTGTTCAGGAGTGTTGTCAGGAGTTCTATAGAAGCTCAATACTATAGAACCAATTGTAGTTTGTTTTGTCATTATAAGACCATTTTAGTGGTATTTTCTTTTTATTTTTAGTAATTTATTGAAATGTGAGCTGTTGTACATTTTTTGGTATTAATCAGTGATATAATTTACTAACCCTTATTAAATAATTAACAAATACGTTTTCTTCCATAGCCGAAAAAATTGTGACTGTCGATAATTTGGAATGTAGTCAATGTCATCAGTTGTAGAATTTTTTCGCTCCCTAATGTACCTTCTTAGTGTCATAACTTCTAATCCGTATATTTTTGAAGTACCACGAATATCATTACCTGCGATAAAATCATTCACATCCGATCACAAGATATCTTTATCGTTTGGTACTCTTTTTTATACACCTTCTCTTGTTTTATATACTCTAGGCATATTGAATTTTGCAATGAATAAAAAAAACATCAGTAAGGAACACGATCTGATTGATTGAGAAAGTGTACCATATGTACCCTTAAGCAGATAGAGATTATAAAAAATAATCCGTACACTGGCGTAACTATACTATCTGAAGTCTGTGGCAAATTCTTTGGATGGGGTCCTCCCAGTAAAAATCGTCATGTTATAATTTAATTTTAATAAACCCCAATTAAGTAGTTCCCAAAACTATTAATAATATTGTGTGTATTTTATACATATTAACACGTAAAATCGACTCCAGCTCATGGTCAATCGGAAAATCTTAGGTGACGCCATCAGTTCTAAATAGATCTTTGGCATTCAACCGACCATTTCTCATACTAACTCCAGAAAATAAGAGAATATCCAGTAATGCTTCAATTTCCTCTCATCATTTCAATTTATCATAAGATTTTTTTCTGAGCATTGTGATGGAATGTTACTTAATTGCAGACAGTATCTTTGTTGAAACTTTTAAGAATATTTGACCAAAAAAAAAACGAGAGATACTAACAATTATTTATTACAAAACTTACAAGTGTTTTTTTACGATTTAAAATTTGTAGTCACTGTCGCTACTGTCATGTTCATTAAATATATTATTAATATTGCATAATTCTATTTCTTGTGTATTTCCACGAGATGTTGAAGGTCATTCTTCATTTATTGGGCTACCCAATGGACTTGACAATTGCTTGGGTGTAGATAACGACTCGTTATCATCGTCATTGATATCATCTTTATGTTTGTGTAACAGGTTCCAATTATACGTTAAAAAATATATTTTTACTGCCCTGTCTGTAGTCAATCTATTTCGTTTGTGACTATGTATATGCGCATGCGTGCTTAAAGATCGTTCAGTGGCTGCTGAAGTACAGGGAGTAGTTAAAATACGTACTGCAACCCTATTCAGCAATTTGGACCTGCATAGTCCTCTCCACCAAACTACCGGTTTCATTTCGACGACATGCTTCCATATAATTGGTTTGCTCTATAAACCCTGTTTAGCTCTAACACCAACGTCAATATTAAGCGATTGGCTCACGTCGTGTATAAACTCCATGGCATCCACTTCGTATTCTTCTAATCCAATGCCTTGCGAGCTTGGATCTAATAAATATGCAGCATAATGAATGAGTTTCAAACAATTATATGTTCGCCTAATTACAGCATTTATGATATCTTGTTTGTGATGCTCATTTAGAATGGATATATCCGGAAATGCAAAATTAAATGTAGACTAAATATTTTTGAAGGCCATATAAACTTCATTTATAAGTATTCCATTGTCTTCAAGTTTGAAAATATTATCTGTTACAAGTACCAATAGTTTTATACAATTTTCTACCATGGTCCAGAAATTTAAGCCAGCTAAGACTGCCAGTGCAATATCCTTTAGCTGGGCAATTACCTTAATCGCCTCGCGAAATATGGCCGCTTGAGATTTTAACGTCGCATTGCCTACTTGTTTTAGGCGGGGTACCCGTTTTAACCGGGTTTCCCCTATAAGCAGCAACAGATACATACCCTTAAAAAATCAACAGCGTCAGCTTATCACCTGAGCTGCTAATTTTGTATTCATTTTTTTATTTCTGTAATTAAAATGATAACTACATAATTTGTTTGAAAATTTCAAACCTTCGTTCTCTTGCACGTCATTTAATTTTCGAACATATTCCAATGATATACTGCTTGCTCGGATTTTAAAGTAAAATCTGCTAAAGTATTTTTTGCTAATTTCAACATATGAGCCGCATCGAATAAACAGTAAATATTATATACTTTTACCGCTCGAATACAGGAAAAACCGTCTGATATCTTTTTTATCTAAAGAACAGCCTAAGTATTGATAAACTTTTAAAAGAAAAGGAAAATTATTTTTCTGTTTTCAGTTTCACTTGTATACACTTATCGCTAAATGATTATACTGTACTTGTATTTTTATCTTGAATCTGAAATAATAAAGTTAAATAGATATTAAAATAAAATTTCATAACGTGACAGAATGTATACAAGAAAATGAACAAAAAAGCCTTACATTTACTATATCTGCTAGAACATTCTCATCGAATACCAATGGAATACGCACTATTGACATGTCATAAACAATACCAATAAATTGGCGTATCTCTTGACTAGTCACATTTACGGGTTTGTTAGCATTTTTCTGGACAGAGTATAAATTAGTCTGATCTTTTATCCAGTC